GAAAACACAAAGGACGCTAGCAAGTCAAGAGAAGGAGAAAACGCAAAGGACGCTAAAAAACGCTTGCGATCCACTTAATTTTAGAACTTGGATCCACTTAAGAAATATTTTGAGCCTAAATATCTCCATCAACTGTATATTTAGATTTATATTTATTTTTATACATACCATATTGGTTTCATACGAAAGATAATAATAATTTATGAACTTTGATCTATTTTTTTTGTAAATTCCGGATTATAAATAAAATAAGTTATAGCATGCAGTTTTAATAAAGTGATTTTTTTAGGGTCCTTAGTGTTTTGTCTTTCCACAGACTTGCTAGCGTCATTTGTGTTTTCTTATTTTTAAGAGAGAAAGTCGTTAACTGAGCTTATTTGTCGATTTGATTTGAGTTTGTTTTTTGTATTTTATTTTTACATATGCACTATTGGTGTCATATGAAAGATAATAAAAAATCATGATTTTTTTTTTTATATTTTTTATAAAACTTGAAATACAAATGAAAAAGTTATATCAATTTAAAAATAGAGAAATGTTTTTGGTCGGGGACTTGGGGGGCCACCATGATATTACGTAGAATTCCAAACATAATGGCTGAGTCCTAAATTAAATTCCAATTCTAATGTAACTCACTATAATTAATTAATTATATACAAAATTGGAAAGTATTAATGTTTTCTTAGAAGATGACACATGACAACGTTTTTCATAATTGTTTTCTTGAAATGTACTACATATTATTTATGGATAACGAGTAAATGATGATAACTTTGATATTATAAAATTACTATTTTTAACTCGTGTGAGTTAAAGTGGTTATTTAACAATGCTAATTAGTTTCTGAAATTGAAACGAGAACCTTTAATAGAGACGTCCGGAAAAAGGAAAGTGAGAACCGTTATCAACGGAGTACTATTTAAGAAAAAAGACAATGCTCTCACGGAAATCACATTATTTTTATATACGTAATAATATTTTATGGCATAATTAGGTCGAATAATACTACATGCACACTACAATATACTATACGAAAGTACACATGTTATACAATGGCGTATCCAGGGGTGGGGGCAGGGGGGCAACTGCCCCCACTCAACCCCACCCAACCCCATATATATATTTAAAAATTAAAATTTACATATATTTGTGTGTTGAGTAAACATATCTTATACTATAATTACACATATTATAATTAAAGGTTGATGTGGTGTAGTGGCAAGGGAAGGCATGCGTTTCGATTCTTCCGTGTGGTTTGGGGATCGAAACCCCTTCCATCCCTCCCTTTGTTTTCAAACTTTTAATTTTTACCTTGTTCCTTATATAAAGTTTTAATAATCACATTCCAAACCTTCCTCCACCTTTTATATATTTAAAACTTTAATTTTTATCTTCCTTGTTTTCTTTTTAAAGTTTTAATCACATTTAAAATGACTTAACATATACACTCATTTTTAGGGTTAATCTATACTTCATTACATTTTTTGAGATGAACTATATTTCAATACATTTTACACAATATAAATTCATTTTTAGATACAATTTTGCACCCCCACAATTTACATTAATTCTAAATACGTACATACACTACATGCCCTTATTCAAATGATTTTTTATTAACATAACATCAAAAATTAAAAAAAAATGTGTCAATTTATTAAGCATGATTTAATGTTTTTCACTGACCCATTAGTTTTTATTTATAATGAAGTTTGTACTATTTTTCTTAAAGTGTTTAGCTACTTGTGACATGTGTGAAATACTCCTAATATATACTCCCTTTGTCTTATAAAATTCTTTCTGGTTTGACTTGGATCGGAGTTGAAGAAAGTAAGAGTCAAGTAGAAATATATGATTATGTTTGAGTAAGAAAAATGTAAATGAATGTTAGCATCACAAAACTTTCTAAAAAGGAAATAGAAAGATTTTTTCGGACAAAAAGATAAGTGTGAAGAATTTTACGGGACTGAGGAAGTAGTATGAACTCGCCCCCACTCGCTACAATTCATGGATACGCCACTGGTTATACATACATACAATCATTTATATGTTTAATTGCCTTATTATTAGCTTGTTCTTCTTTTCTAAAATGTGGACTCAAATGAAACCTAAATTAAGGTTATCCAAGTGAAAGCAACCCGCCCAGAATTGAGAAGATGATGGATTATAAATTGGTGGGTCGAAGCAAGGCAAAAGGTGGGCAGCTGAGAAGTAGGTAAGTCAGCTAATTAATTAAGCTTGGGCTTAGGAACATTATATATACTACGCAGGGGCGGAGCCATGGCACTGGGCCGCACTGGACCTGTACAAAGAATATTTTTGAAAAATTTTCTACACATAATTTTTTACACTAAAAATACAAACATTTTTAAAATTTGGGCTGAGCCAGGGCCAGGGATGACCTTCTCCTGGCTTCGCCCATAATACTACGCATTATGCATGACATATACTTACGTACGCATGTACGAAAGAAGAGTAAAAGTGTTGAGATATGGTAATCAACTTTTCATTAGTTGAGTTATGACATAATTATTACAAAAATGGTCTTTGTATCCATTCTTATATCCACTTTTGTATCCACCTATATTTGTGAAGACTGTTTTTCTGTGAATCCCGGTTCACAGACAAAAAGAAACCTTCACAAACATGATAGGTATAAGAATGGGTACAAAATTGTAATTATTATACTCATCATCATCATCATCTCTAATACCACGATTTCCTTTGTGCACTTGGCCAGTACTTGGTGTGGCTGTTGCCAAGATGATGGGCCGAATACATCACATTAACTCATGAGGTCGATCGGTGGGTGACTTGGTGGGATACTGCTACGCTTCTAGCAGCAGTCATTGTGTGTTTCTACTAGATCCGGTGGACGCATGGAGTAATTAATTAAAGCATAAATATGTGATCGCATGTATACGTGTTGTTTCAATTCATATATGGAGCTGAGTATATGGCTCTCTCCCTTTTTATTTAGCTATATTTGAATTTCAAAGTTAATATGTTAAACTTGAACCGATTGATTATATATTTATACATGGTGGTATTGATAATATGAAAATGATATGAAAATTTTCTTTGTTAAAAATACTACGTGGTATAATAAAAGTATAAATCTTCACTACAAGAAAAGTACTCATTCATGACAGGAGATACCGTAGTTAAAAGTTGAAAACCTTTCACAAAAGAGTTTTAATGACGGGAAATCTCCTGTCACCCCCCGTCACTACTGCTTCCGCGGTTAAAAGTAAATAATGACGGTTATACAATCCTGTCATTAATGAGTATGCAATGAGAGTCTATTCACCCTCATTAAAAGGTTCTTTTTTATGACAAAAGATCCCCTCATTATTATTAATACACATGATACATTGATTACAATATACACACACACATAATTTAATACTAATAAATAACCAATATTTTCAAACATTTTTATTTATATATCAATTTCTCACATAAATGTGAATGTACATAATGCATAATTCATAGGGGCATCCCCCAAAATAATAAATAATAAACAAAAACAAAATGCTAACTAGTCCAACTTTTACTCCATGCTTCACAAGGCCTTCACATCCTTCTTATATGTAGACATCACATTTTCTTCTACACAGAATGCAATCACCATTCTTATACTGCGCTAGCAATGGCGTATCCAGGGTGGGGGCAGGGGGGCAACTGCCCCCACTCAACCCCACCCAACCCCATATATATATTTAAAAATTAAAATTTACATATATTTGTGTGTTGAGTAAACATATCTTATACTATAATTACACATATTATAATTAAAGGGTGATGTGGTGTAGTGGCAAGGGAAGGCATGCGTTTGGATTCTTCCGTGTGGTTTGGGGATCGAAACCCCTTCCACCCCTCCCTTTGTTTTCAAACTTTTAATTTTTACCTTGTTCCTTATATAAAGTTTTAATAATCACATTCCAAACCTTCCTCCACCTTTTATATATTTAAAACTTTAATTTTTATCTTCCTTGTTTTCTTTTTAAAGTTTTAATCACATTTAAAATGACTTAACATATACACTCATTTTTAGGGTTAATCTATACTTCATTACATTTTTTGAGATGAACTATATTTCAATACATTTTACACAATATAAATTCATTTTTAGATACAATTTTGCACCCCCACAATTTAATTTAATTCTAAATACGTACATACACTACATGCCCTTATTCAAATGATTTTTTATTAACATAACATCAAAAATTTAAAAAAAATGTGTCAATTTATTAAGCATGATTTAATGTTTTTCACTGACCGATTAGTTTTTATTTATAATGAAGTTTGTACTATTTTTCTTAAAGTGTTTAGCTACTTGTGACATGTGTGAAATACTCCTAATATATACTCCCTTTGTCTTATAAAATTCTTTCTGGTTTGACTTGGATTGGAGTTGAAGAAAGTAAGAGTCAAGTAGAAATATATGATTATGTTTGAGTAAGAAAAATGTAAATGAATGTTAGCATCACAAAACTTTCTAAAAAGGAAATAGAAAGATTTTTTCGGACAAAAAGATAAGTGTGAAGAATTTTACGGGACTGAGGAAGTAGTATGAACTCGCCCCCACTCGCTACAATTCATGGATACGCCACTGTGCGCTAGTGAGGCTACTTCGTTAGAAAGTTCTCTTTGGTAGATGAAAGTCATGAAGGTGAAATTTATGAAGTGATTACACTACAAGAAAAAGTGTTTTTTGCGTCAACAAAAAGTCGACACAAAAAGTCAAAAATCGACACAAATGCTTTATTTGCGTCGACAAGTGGACGCAAATGTGTCGACGCAAAAGGCTCGACGCAAAAACTTTTTTAGCGTCGACAAGGGGTTGACGCAAATAAAATTTATCTTTTGCGTCGACTTTGTCAACGCAAAAAGTCATAATCCGAAAAAAATAAAAAAACATTATTCGCGTCGACATGTGGACGCTAAAGGTACTATTTTTCCAAAAAAAATTAAAAATATAATTACACTAAACAGTCATCACAAGATCCTAAAATACAGAAAATGCATAAATTTACAGTAAAAATTTATCAAATCACTCTAACGTACTTTCAAATTAAGCATAAATACAAGTTTAAAAAGCTAAGCGAGAATAACAAGCCAAAATAACTAAATTAAAATGTAAAACTACTATAATTTCAAAATACAACTAATTGACATGATTTGAATCATGTGCCAAAAGTCAAATGGACAATATTTGAATCTTCTCATGGATTAGAGCACTTCTCCAAAAAACTCCAAATCTACTGGAAACCCCATCAACAATTGTAGACAACGCCATGATCAGTCGCAACCTGCCATATTGGAGTAAAAAATGCAAGAGCCTCGAGAAACAGACATTATCACACTGAATAATACCTAGTAAGACATAAGAGCCGGGGAGACTAAACCATCACTAACCAACCGTCTCTATGCACTGACCAACAGTTGTACGTAGACAACGCCAACAGTTGGTTTTTTCCCAATTGTGAGACCAATGGAGACACACACAAAAGGAAACCTGCAGGTTAAACCACAGCTTTTAATATACCAAATTACAAGTTAATCATTTAAGTTCTCCAAGGGGCACTTGTTACAATATTTAATGGAAAATTACCCATGGACAAATTTAGTGGTACCATCAACCGGATCAACTATCCTTTTAGGTTCATCTGTCAGCTCAGAAGCTCCATAAGCTGCCGTTGTTTCTTCTCCGATGAACATAAGCTTAAACCTCATTTTCTACAGAATGCACATCTTAAATTTCAAAAAAAGTGCAAGAGCATATACTGCACAAATTAGAATATGTGGCCAAATTTTAACATCATATACATAGAATCTGATGGAATATTATCACACAACTGATTTCAATTTGTAAATAGCAAATGATTAATAAATGTTTAAAACAAAGACCATAAACTAAAACATATAATCTACGAATAGAACTAAAAGTAATTACCGAGCCTTTGTGTTCAATATGCTTTTTCTGGTGGAAACCATTTCATATGATCTGTAAATCTAGTAAACCAACACAGTCAAGAAGTAGAGCGAAAAACCAGTTAAAAATGTAAACCAAAGAGCATAAAGTTCAAAAATAGCAAAGAGCATAAAGTTCAAAAATTAACAACTCATATTGAAGTATAGTACATACTCTGTAAATCACAATGTATATATACTGCTGGATTTGATTATATTCCTTCTCCCGGACAGAATTTACAAACATTCCAATATCTATGAAACTATGACCTGAAAGAGGAACAATAATTTCTCAGTCCATTGCTTCGTGTCATGTGAATGTAGTAAAATGACAAATCTGTAATATAATAATATAGTATAACATGCTCACCAAGTAGAAATAAGAAAGTTGCACCAATTGTTAAGAAACTGAAACAATCTAAAGAAGGTTTTAGTTTAAATGTTTTATGAAGATAAGAGTCAAAAGTGGAAAAAGTAAGATAGGAATATGCAAATAAGCAAACAATTCCATGGAAGCTACCAGAGAAAATATGCCTCGTGGTGCTACCAAAGAGCAAACCACGGGTTGTGAGATACAGGGGCTGGAATAAATTACTCAAGGGACTCATACCTTATAAAATTTATGAACTGTTAGCAATGGTAAAGTACCATGATCAACACTTGAGCAACCCAACTCATGAGTTAAACCTAAAAGTTCAAAAATATAACAACATAAGCAATTAACCTCACATGAGTTCAAGCATAATTCCATAACCAGAAAAGCACAAAGACAAGTTCAACTAGCTTGGAAAGGATTTAAAAACTAAATAAGAAATTAAGAATAAATAAAGTAAGAACATTTCATTCAAACTAGCAATTCAAGTATCAATAAAATCATAAAGCTCCAATGTAAGTTGGTAAAGCAACAAAAGAAGTCTTATAATCCTAACAGAGTACATGGCCTGTGCTTCCAAAAAATGAAAGAAAGGTAAATTGGTTTTGATAAACTTACAAAACACCATTAATTCTTTGAGTACTTTTCTCAAACACTAAACTTGCAACCTTCCAATATTAGGTTACTTCAAACTGTTTACATAAACTTTTTTTAATCCAATCAGGCATACACATACAGATGTCAAAGACATCAGACCGTGAAGGTAAATGTGTAACCACTTACCAACATCAATTTATGACTCTTGCAATCATAATTTGAGATTACAAAATACGAATTGCATTTCAAAATTGCTAAAAAAATAGATAGTATTGATGAAAAAGAATGAAATGATGAATGGATACATACTATTACCTACTAACGAACAGAGTGAATTTGAGATGCCGGCAAATCCAAATATGGTGAAGATAAGCATGGATGTTGCGGTAAATTGAAGTAAATCTGGAGAATAGAGCTTGACAAACCTGCAAAAACACATCAGGGCCACTGAAAAACAAGACAAAGCTTCGTTCTCACTGTTCTTGAGACAGAAATCGAGGTTCTTCTTCACCCCTTCAACCTCAAATTGCTTCTCCTTGGATTCACCTAGATCTTCAACCCATTTGGGATGTATATTGTAACGAGGAGGGGTCTTCATTTCTCATCTGCCTCTTGATTTCCCCTCACACGCTCCATTTCTCTCAGCAAGTAGCTAGGGTTTTGGTTTTGTTTTACTCCGTATCTCTGAAGCTTTAATACCGGCGTATGGAGTATATTTTTAGCGTCGACAACTGGGATGACCTAATGTTATCGACGTATAGTTTTTGTATATAATTTTTCGCGTTAACATATTAACGCAAATGACCTGTTATTAGCGTCCAGTTTGGTTGACGCAAAAAGTTTGGACGGAATTGATACTTTTTGTTGTAGTGTTACTGCATGAACATAAAGTTAAACGAATAGCTGACAGTTAAATATAAGCATAATGAACTATAAAAAAACAAAAGCATTAAATGCTGATAGGTAAAATAGATAAAGTCCAATGATAATGAGAAAATCTGGCGCATATTAGATCAGGAAATCAGTTTCAAACAAATAGCACTCCCTCCGTCCACAATACTCTTCCTACTTTTCTTTTTGGACCATCCAAAATACTTGTTCTCATTTACCTTTAGAGAAGGAATGGAATTTTGTGGTTTGCATTACATTTTCATTAGGAGCAGAACAAGTAGATGAAAAAAAAGTAGTTTGGGTACAGAGGTATTGCTAACTTTAGAAACAATAATACTATCAGTCCGGAAGATTGTAGATGGAGGTTTAGACAAAACTGGAAAAAACATTCAAAGAGGATTTACGGAAGAGTTCATCCTAGTCTTATGCAAAAATTTGGGTACCTCTATCAAAGAACTCTTGATTCAAAAGTATGATAGTAAAAATATCAAAGTGGATTAAAAAACCAGAGTATGCATATCATCTTTTGTTTTCACTTACACGAGCCATTTTGTACTTCAAGGTGAGATACTAATAACAATACTAGTACATAATAAACTTACAAAACAGTAAGTTCTCAAGTTTGAACTGCATTTCCAGCTGCAAAGAAGAAGAAGAAAGCATAAGATAAACAAAATATATTATTTAAGTTTAACTTTAATGAAACAGAGGGTGATATATTGTGTACACATTAAATACCCACTCCAAAAATATTCCAAGATAATGATGTAATTATTATCAAAGATATAGTTCAAGTATAATAGTAAAATCAGTCTTATACAATTACAATAAGGGGTATCAATCAAAGGGTATATCAACTAAAGAAAGCGTATTTGAGAAAGAACTAATCTAAGCACTCAATATGAAACAAAGGGAGATGTGCAAAGTAGAAAGTGGATACCACAATAACCCAGTAAAATTGATACAAAACAGAAAGTCCTTGCCTTGCTTATTAAGGAAGCTATAATTGAGAAGTGGCTTACTGCAAGATAATGATTTAGACATAGTTAAGTATTAGCATATCAAATGTACTAACATGAACATATTGTATTTCATTAAGCCACATAAGTGCCTTCTCACCTTCATAGTTAAGTATTAGCATATCAAATGTACTAACATGAACACACTTGAATACTATGTGTAGTCATATACGTCGATGACCTCTTGACAACTGGAAATGATCGCGCCATGATAGATTAATTTAAATTGTACCTTGCCGCCACCTTTTCCATCAAGGACTTGGGGGTTATGAAATATTTTCTTGGAATAGAGGTAGCATGGATTAGTAAAGTGAAGAAAAACGTTAAACCACCTCATATCTGACCATCAAACAAACAGAAAGTAATTAATTACACCAAAAATAACTTGTATTGAATTCTTGATGCACAGTTAGCATAAAGATTTGTACGTAGTAAATTCCTTACAATTTACTTACAATTTGGGCTTATCATTTAGAACGATCAATAAATTCCTTTGTCGTGAACTCGTGATCGAACATTTTTAAAGCGAAAAGTCGTCTGAGGTGGGATCTTGCTTAAAAGGGAAAGCGCTAAGTGAAGCATATATATACCTTTCTCACTAAAAAGGACACTTTTAAGCATAAATAAAATCAAACATATCTAATGTAAATTATAAACCAAAATATTTAAGTAGTCATTAATCTATAATAATTTCATTAAGCGCCAGTGATCATCACTCATCAGTCGTCATCCTCCATGTCAAAATGATCGAGCTTCTTCTCTCATCAAAATTTGTAGCATCAACATCTTATTATTTTCATTCCTCTCAACAGGAAGTCTATGGATCAAATCTTTTACTTGCTTCTTAAATTGTAATTCTTGGAATATGATTTAGACATTTATTGACATACACAATTGAAAATAATAAAGTAAAAATACAAATGACAAACTAACAAGCTCTTCTATAGAGAAGAAATAAAATGCTTTTCTAAAGCATAAGGATTAGGAGCTGAGCAGACCAACAGATGAAAAAATCAACAGAAGCCAATGAAAGTGAAAAAAATGAAGAACAAGTGATGAGCACTGGGAACTTTTTTTAAAAATAAAATAAAATTTATAATTTCTGAGTTTGTGTTGTTTAAGAATTGAAGCGGACGATGTTAAGAGATGTTAATTAATAATTACAGTAGAGTAGGCAAACTGATGGTTAATTTAGGAGCCAAGTTTGAGAATTCCCAAACTGCTAGGTAGCAATTATGTCCTCATCTTACTTTCTGTATAAGTACCAAAATCAGGGCCGTTTTTTAGGGGGTTTAATAGGTTATCCAGAACAGGGCCCCCAAATTTAAGGGGCCCCATATTTTAAAAAATTATTAGTAATTATATTAATATTAATATAAATACATCATTTTTTCGTTAGTCATTTTACTCTTTTAGTTCTCTTTTAATGAGTATTCCGTTGATTTGAGTATAAATATTTCGATTGAGATTTTTTAATAATTTTTTATATTAATTTGGGGCCCCGCTTTTACATTTTGAACTGGGGCCTCCAAATTCATTAGACGGCCCTGACCAAAATTAATCTTAGGAACTTGTTTTAGCGCGCCAGACACACAATGACACAAATATTGTTGATAAAGCATAAGAAGAAGAAAAGAAACTAAAATTCAAACCTTAAAATTTACAAATATAAAACATTTGAATTTTATTTGGAGTATCATCCCAGTTTTATTTGTAAAAATAGAACCCAAATGGAAAGGATGGGAAAAGAAGATATCTGAAGACAGGGTTGTAGTCTTGTAGATGTTGTCCGCGTTATACATAAAAGGAAGAAAAAAAAGAGGCAATCCAGATAAAGGAGTAGCTATGTTGCAAATAATGAGGAAATAGGAAATGAAAAACGCTCATTTTCCTCAAAAAGACTTGTTTGTACAATTTCCAAAACATAAACGCACTCTTTCCCAGTTTTACGAGCTGAGGAAAAGGGATCAGCCATGAAGAATTAGCTGAATGAGTGAATGGTCTGATGTTTAGGGTAATACATAATAAAAAGATTTGCGCAAACCTATTTCAAGAAACAGGAAAAGCTTTATGATCACTAATAGAGCTGTCTTTTAGCATTGATTAGGTTAAATAGAACACGGTTAAATAGAACACACCCGCTTCCCATGGCCCCCATATTTATAAGGTACTAGTAGTACTATATTATTTTTAGGTCACTAAAATTAATTAATTAATTATATAATATAATAATGTAATAGTGTATAGTATCGTATATAAATATGAGTTACAACTAAATTCACATTCCACTACTCTGTATAATAATGTCTTATTAAATATGAAACACTTTACGAAAAAAATATAAAGATTAGTTATTTGAAAGGGGGCAAATTACTACTGTAATTTTTAATTGCATTATTTGATGAGTATTCAATTGATTGAGTATAATAAGAATTTGGATTAAGAATATTTTTTAATTTTTCATATTAAAACGGAGCCTCAAAGTTTTATTTTGAACAGGGACATCCAAATTCATTAGACGGATCTGATCATTAATAACATATATGCAAATAAAATAGAGGCGGTAGTTGATATTCATACCTGGAATGGATTTGGAAGAACTGCTGGATGGGTTGAAGTCTTGAAAGCTGATGATTTGAATACGGAAGAAGCAGGGCACGGGACTCTATTATTTCTATACCCCAGGGTTACTGATTATAGCTTGTGTTAATTGGGCTTGACTCCAACTCTAGAATTTTAATTTGAGAATTTATCCAAAATAGGACTAAAAAGGTTTGAAAATTCCAAAATAGGAATTTTCCCAAAATAGGACTAATTACTGCCATGTTTTGGCACTACCAGACTTCAAACATGACAGTATTTTCCAAACTTGGCAGTTATTACTCCTATTTTGGGAATAAAAAACATGACAGTCCTATTTTGGAATTTTCAAGTTGTTTTAGTCCTATTTCGGGAACTTTCCCTTTTAATTTTAATTGGGCGTATATAACCCTCTCTAATTTATTGAAGCTTAACGATCAATTTTCAACATTTATGTATTAAGGATGTTTTTACTTCGATTGTAATTTGCTGGTCTGGTCTGAACTGGTCTGGTTTCTTTGTATTTTTATAATTATCTAAGTCCGGCCTGGTCTGATATGGTTTGGGAGAGATTATAGTCCAAGTAAAAACATCCTAAATTTTACTTGTTTGAGATTATTTTTGTGCCATTTATTAGACGAAAATATGACAAAAAAATGTGATAATGAGCAGTTTAATCTCAACCTTTCATTATCTTTTAGGAAAAATTGATAGTAATAATCCCAACTATTGGCAGTCCGTCTATAATAATCCCAACTATCGATTATTTCAGAATAATCCCAACTTTAGGGACCTTCCGCCAATAATGGTCCCTATTAATATATTGTTGTAGTTTCTAAAGTGGATGAGAAGAGATATAACAAGTAATCCCTATAAATAATCCCAACTTATAATTTTTACACTTAATTTCTATTTAAAATTCACTTTTTATAGAAGGTAATATTTGGTCATGGACCATTATTGGCGGATGGTCCATATAGTTGGGATTATACAAAAATAATCAATAGTTGGGATTATTATCGGCGGACAGGCAATAGTTGAGATTATTATTTTCAATTTTTCCTATCTTTTATGTACGTAGTACAATATATACATATGTGTGTGTGCGGCTGTGCGCGTCCCAGACTTCTAGTGGATCATCTCATTAGAGGCACATTAACTTTATATTCACTCAATGTTCCGTACATTTACGGTGACCCAGTGTAACGTTGATGACCCCTTGATATATTTAAACTTTCTTTTTAATAAAACTTGATAAGTGTAGATAGATTTTGCCCTCAGGTATTGGGAGAGAGTCAAATGCTGGACAAGTCAAAGAATTCGTACCGTGGATGAGAGCAAACAGTGACTGAGGTAGTGACGGAAAGGGTAACAAATGGCTGGTTCCGGAGCAAGGAAATACGCAAGGGTTAGGTATAGAGGTTGGGTCGGCAACCTATCAAGACAATCATGGGTGAGGGAAAATCAGTGGAAGCTCAATCTATGGATAATGAAAGTGAACCTAGAGATGTGGGACGACCAAAAGAAGCAGTGCATGTGAGAAACAAAAGCGCCAAAGAGTGGAAGAGGAGCCAACACAGGAGGGAGTTGGATGACAAACAACGGAAAAAGCAGAGTTGGGGCAAGCTTTGGTTGAAAAGCTTGTTGGGGAATTGGCATGTTTATGGTTGTTTCTTGCCCTTTTAGTTTTTTTCCATCTTACATTATTTTTCAAGACAATGTTGTTCTTCCGTTTTTGCTTTATGTTTGGTCGTATGCATTAGACTTCTTGGGGACATTTTGTTATTTTTAATTACTCGACTTGGGTGATTGTTGTTTTGACAGGCAAGTCTCTCATCTTTTTTTTAAAACCCGAAAGGCAAAGCATCAAAATTAGTGGGGCAAATGTCATGGAACATTTGCTGGGTTTTATTAGATAAAAAATAGAATACAATTGATCCAAATATGGGGGCAAACGGGGTTGTGGGTGTAGTCCAATGGATGACCATCCACCCCCAAGTCTCTCCTTTGTGGGAGGTCTTGGATTCATTTCCCACCTACCAAAAATGTAGGAGGGCATGCTTCTAATGATTTTTCCTATCTTCACGGAGTTGCTCAGCGGCTGAGAAGGGAGAGCATGTAGATGAAGGAAGCGGATTCGTGTTGGTGGGAGGAGCAACCTGAAAGGTTATGTAAGTCCTACTGAATTTGTCCTTTGCAGCCAGTACAGACGAGACTGACTGTGATTAGATCCAGATTTAACTATCCCGTGGCTTTGGAGAATAGTTTATAGACTTCAAGATTATGGGAGCGCAAGCCCCGACACCTGGATTATAAAAAGAAACGGTAAAGGGCAACCTCCATATCAGATGGCTCTTCGATTTATAAGATGTGGCAGAGCCACAAGTTTTGTATTTGGAAGTGGTGATTCAAGCATTTTAGAGCATCTCTAATGGGGAGGTGAATTGTCAAAAACATGTCACCCACCTCACCCAATGGACCCAATGTGCTCTCCAATGCAAAACCAAAAAAATGAGGTCTATCCTAGGTGGCAATGACCAAGGTCCAAGAGGAGGTCTACATTGGGACCTTGGGTCTCACCCCCTCTTTCTCCTTCAAGTTGCTTCTCATGTGTTTTGCACTTGCAATTTGTTTAGTATGGGAGACCTATTAGAATGGACCCTCTCATTTTAAGATGGACTCTTTCCATTAAATTGCCACATCATCTCCAATGCACTCATTGCATTATAGTTGCTCTTGCACCGCAAGTGTTTAATCTTCACATTTAAGTACATTATTTTTATAATTTATACTCAAATTTGATAAATAATTCTAGTATTTGTAAATTAGAAATTGTTTTAAATATGAAAATGGTATGACACATACCTTGAGCAACTGAATTTTGCACCTAATTTCAAAATCTTTAAAGTGTAAATTTGTTTTTAATAAACTCATTGGACTTTACACCCAAAATCGTTAACTAAAGTCCACTATCATTGTATTTGACAAAGATGGAATATGATACTACCTCCCTCCCGGAAACAAGTTCTCGAGTTGACTTTCACACATTTTTAGAAAATAAATTTACTGAGGGGTAAATTTTATTGTTTCGACACTGTTTGACACTGTTTGACACTGTTTTGCACTATTTTGATACAGATAATTTGCCAAATAAGGAAATGGGAAGTTTATTTTGGGACATCCAAATAAGAAAAGTGGGATCTTCTTTCCGAGACAGAGGGAGTATATAAATTTATATTTGCATACATATGAACTAGTCTTTTACCCGTGTGTTGCACGGGGTGCCGAATTAACAGATTGTCTAAAAAGTTGTCTAATAGTTCTAAGGCTTATGCAAGTGCACATAAAATATTTCAAAATGACATTCTTGATCTTGAGCATGCATCTATCATTCATTCATTCTAAAGTTCATTTCAAAATGACATCCTAGCATGCTCACATACACATCCAAAGTGATAGAAGTCCACATACTCACCTTCATTTTAAAAATGTCTCTTGAGAAAGCAAATGCTCAAGCAATGAATGAGTGTGAACCTTCTTCCGTGAGCGGGCGGGCGGGTGGTTAATTAAAACTTAAACCAATTTGACTCGTAGTCTTCTATTTAAAAGAGTTGATTACTAATAGCATAGTTGCAAGCTCATAGCTATTATAATTGATCATTCATGCATATTTTCAGAAATAGCATCTAATAGAGTAATGACGAAACTATAAATGCTCATAGCCTCATAGTTGCCACCTACTGACCTAATGGACGAAACTTCTCTTTTGAACTGATAGGAGCTATTTTCCAAAACTTCTCTTCTGAAGCAATAGAAGAAAAAACGACCCGTATCCTCTTATACAATACATTTGAGCAGACATGAACTACAAAAGCAACTAACGAAAAAACATCTTGAGTATACAATTACCCTGAAAAAATTGGGAGGTGTTACAGTATAGTGTCGTGCTTGATATGATAAGAACTAAGCAAATAGATGAGAACTAAAGAAAAAAATTACTTCTGATTTTCCATTTCAAGTAGCATGGCTTGAAAATACTAAATAAACATTTAGAAAATTCATTATTTAACATAATTACCTGCAATAATTTAAACCTTACTATTAGATTTTTTCCACTTTTAGTCCTCCGACTATTATGTCATTGACATTTTTGGTACTCGACTTTGATATTTTCCATTTTTAGTCCTTCACTATTGCGCTAGAGACACTTTTGGTACCCGTCTTTGAAAATTTTCATATTTAGTCCTTCAACTTTCATAAAAGTGACACTTTTGGTCCTTCAACCATTACAATAGTGACATTTTTCTCCTCCACTTATTGTGTCAAAATCATAACGGTAGGACTAAGAATGTCAATTTGACAATACTCAGGGACTAAATGTGAGAAACCTTGAAGTCGGGGACTAAAAGTGTCTTTAGCACAATAGTCGAGGACTAAAAGTGGAAAAATTAGAAGTCGGGTATCAAAAGTGTCATTGACATAATAGTCGGGGGACCAAAAATGGTAAAAACTCCTCACTATTATATTAACACGACAATTGAACTTGGAATTGACTTTGTGATATTCCAAATGAGGTGTAAGTGCCACTCAAGTTATATGTAATTATGGGAGCATTTGAGAAAATAGGAAAAATAGGATTTGAATCCAGTTCTCTCACCTAGAACTTTTCTCTTCTCCTAACATTTCAATTTCCCCTAATTCATTCCATGTGTATTTATGTTTTAAACATGCATTGTGGCAGACAACTATATAGAAAGAAGGAAGTGCAAATTAGGACTGTGTGTTCATGTTAGGCCCGTGCAAAAACTGACCAAAACCCAAATAGTCTTCTGAGCTAAAGCATATTATTCATCTTCTAAAAGTAACACATTAAAAGGAAACCTAATTTACTTTTCAATAACATTATACATCCAGTCAAACAACTATTAGCAATAGCAAAATACAGAAGAGAGCAATACCCAAGCTAGTTTATCAACTCACATTCCTGCACTTCGATGCTGCTCATAAGAATGTTTACTCGAGCTTTAAATGTTACTGAAGGACTATCATGATACCATCTATCCACATCGGGTGTATGGAATTATTGAATAAATAAACTTTTAAGTAGAAAAATGGTAAAATTATAAACTGACAATTGTGTAACTATGGATACAGAAAAACTTAAAATTTTGGGTAAACTATAAACCGGCCAATTATGTATCTATGGATAAAGAAAATGTTAAATCTAAACTACTCATCTTTTCCGAGCTTGATGGATTTAAAAGGCGAGGTGATCTGATTTCATCTTTCACTGCGGCTGAGAGGGACAGAGAAACTACTCAATCTCTTCCATTTAAACGATCACCGACTTGATGAGAACGGCTTCACAATAGAATGAATACGATGGTGCGGTGAAGCCAATCCATGGGAATCGCAGGAGTTATTTCTGGTGAAGAAGAAAAGAAGGAGAAGGTAGAAAGTCGGATAGGTGAGCTGAGTAGGAGAAATCTGGACTCCGGAAGAAGTAATCGCAGGCAGGGGCGGAGGCAAGGGGGGTCAGGGTGGTCAGCCGACCCCTACTTAAAGTTTGAGAGCATAGAGCTCTGAAAAATATCTTCGATTTGATATATTATGGCCCATGTAACTTATTACGAGTAAAAAGTTATGACTTCTGGAAAATCAGCATTATCTAAACGAAAAATCAGCAAAATTTGATTCATACTATAGATTATTTTCCCAAATTTTAAAAATAGGGTATAATTCACTCAATACTTACGTGACACGACTCAGAAACCCAGCAAAGACCATATATCTTATTGTTAGGAGTGCATATTTATCTAAACTGCATATCAAAATATTCAATTCAATATTATTTAAAAACGATTCACCATTTTCATTCGGTATATATTTTGATTTTCGACCCCCGAGCCATTTTTCTGGCTCCGCCACTGATCGCAGGTGGTGCTCCAACGCACTTGAGAATGTCAAATTGAGAAGGCGTCTGGCAGAAGAATAGTAGACAAGGCAAGACGATTGAAGGGATTAGCAAGAGCCAAATTGACTAAATTACCCAATAAGTTTAGGCGGGAGAATGCAGGCCTCACTTAGTTCATTAAATTAAGTATTGCTTGATTGATTGATGATGATTTTATTTTGGAGCGACCACACCCCTTGAGCTTATCCTGTCTCCACTATTGTTACAAGCATCGCTGAAGACAAAAAGGCGCAAAAGGAACTTTGGTATTTTTATCCTTCTTTCACCATATTGGATTATATCCCTTCTACATAGGATTCCCATCAACTTCAACAAATTAAAACTCTGAGTTCTTACCAGGAAATAAGTGAGCGTGACTTTCTGATCACCATAAAAGTGTACATTTAAGGAGACGTACTATTATGCTACATCTATTAAAGAGAAAATGGCTCAAATTTGACAACATATAAGGTTACCGTCAGAAATAACGGAGCAGAAAAGGGTACACTCACAAAATATCTATATTTCATATCCACAGAAATAGGGAGAAGTAAAATACAGAAACCGTAATTCCAAACGTGATATTATGCCAGAGAGCCCACAATATGCTTCTTTCTTAGAGTATAATGCCGAATAAAAGAAAAAAAGTACCACCGGTCTGCATAAAGCGCATTGAGACATACCATAAACATCTCCACTATTTATCAAAGTATCTAACTAGTCCGGGCGGGCCGGATCTCGGGCCATGTCGCACTGTCCAACCAATTCTTGAGGCCATCGAGCCAAACTGTACCATTGATTCTCGGGGCCATCGAGTCTAACTGTCCCGTTGATTCTCGGGACCATCGAGTCTAACTGTCCCGTGGATTCTCGAGACCATCGAGTCAAACTGTCCGATCAATTCTTCCGCCCATCTGGTCAAACGGTAACTCTCCGGAAATCGAGTGCATTTTTTAATAACACCAAAATGCTACAAGTACACACTTTTGTACATATACAGAGTATGATACGGAGTATACACTCCCCAGTTGTCTGTCTATAAAGATAATTCACAAATTATCTTTTGCCTAGAAAGAGAACTAGGAGGGTGTAGATAGGATATCTCTTTTTTCAAATCTCAACTGTGCAACCGGACTGGACGAACCCAGCGAACTCAGCAGGGACCTCAATTTTCTGCAATTTGCGATTTTGCCCTCTGTTATCCATAGAGAAAAACCCATGTGGCGCGCCCTGGTAGGCTGACCCGGTCACCAAGGTCAGGTCACCCAGATCAACCCCGCAGGCTCCGACCCGTATCTCCGGGTCACAGTCCGCCCAGCACATCAAGCTCCCGTTTTTGCCCATCCCCACGCACGCTCTCGGGCACCGGCTGGCTCCCCACGCGTCCTCGACTCGCCTCCACTCGCCGGTCACGAGTTTCAGTGACTCAGCGCTGCTCGTGAACCGCCCCTGCGTCTCCGTCCCGTACCCGCTCACGACCCAGAACTCCGACCCGATCACCACCCCCTCGCACTCGTCTCGTTCCTCGCTCATCGCGCCCAGCTCGCTCCACTCGTTCCTCCTTACATCGAAAACCCACGCCGATTTCAGGGCGTTCTTGCTCTCGTCGTGCCCGCCGGCAACGATCACCCGGCCGTCAACCGCCCCCGCGGCAAAGAACGACCGTTTCGAGGGCATATCCTCGCACTGAGTCCACCCGCGAGTCGCGAAATCGTACACGAAGATATCCTTCACCGGGTCCCAATTCACCGGGTCCCACCCGCCCATCACCGCGAGCTTCCCTTCCGAGCTGACGATTTGGCAGAACATCGGGAGCCCGCTCGGGTACTTGGGAATCGGGTCGACCCAGCTCCAGGTCCGGCTCACCGGGTCGAACATGGAAATCCCGTAACTGGGCTGCCCGATCGGTTTGGAGGAGGGGGGAATCGGAAGCGCCTGGACCAGGCAGGCGGCTTTGTGGGTATGCCCCGTCTTCTTCCGGTGATAATAGAAGTCACGGCTGAGGAGGAGGTGGCGCCAGCGGCGGCAGACGAGCGAGGCGACTGAGTGGGTCGAGTAATGCAATCGGGTCAAGCATTCGAGAGCGAGTTCCTCGGGCAAACCCGGAAGCAACTCAGTGAATTGTACCGAACTCATGACTCGGAATGGATCTAGAAGCTTTTTTGTGTGTTTTGGGAGAAGATAACGGTAAGACTACGAAAGGTTATCCAGAAGAGAAGACTTTTATAGTGGAGAAGAAAGTGAGGAATAAAGATGGCGGTAACCTGAGGGCTTCCCAACCAGCAATTAAATTGATCCGCGTGTCCACCCGAATATTTATAACCACAAAAGATATTATTTTCTAGACGCTCTCCAGATAAGATTATGTAGTCCCGGGCCCATGCCACCCGCCAAATCAATCTTTTGGAATAGTTCCAAACTTTAACCTCCAACTTGATTTCCATTTTACTCGACAAAAGTAATTTTAAGTTGATCAAATTATGGCTTTAATTATTGCCCAAACCCATAGTGTGTGGTGGAGCCCGACCATATGTTCTGTTTGGACGATTTTTTCAAATATTTTTTCATTATGGAAGCGTTAGATGAGGGAAAGAGCCGATGGAGTCATACTTTGGAAATATCATGTTACTCTAGTCGTAATAATACTAAAAGATAGAGAAACTCCCATAATATGACCAAAAATCATGTTTAAGGGGAATATGACTTGTAAACAGACTAGATGAGTAAGATCCACGTATTAATCCCTACATTGTAGGCTGAGATAATAATATAGGTGTGTAATACTTCCTCCGTTCCCTAACTTTGTCCCGTTTTACCTAGGCCTGGGACCGGTTCGGTTCCTAGGTGAAATATGTGGAACCGTTTGAAAATATGAAATTTTACTAACGGTTCGGTTCTTATAAATTATTTTGTAGAACCGATAAGGAACCGAACCGTTCTTAACGGTTCGGTTCTTGTCATTTAACGGTTCCTAGTATTTAAAAAAAAATCTTACAAATCACGGTTAAATTTGTGTCAAAAATACATTCAACGCTTGAAATTACAATACAAATATGTTGAATTTCATTTCAAACCTCAAAAGTTGAGTTTAAAAGATAAATACATAACAAACTGCAAATTTTAGAAAACAAAAACAAAACAAGATATTCGGTAAAGAAGCCCAATAAAACCAGTTAAATGAAAAACAATTTCAAATAGTTAAATAACTAAACTAAAATAGTGAATGTAATATGAAAATAAATAAGTAAATATAAATTAAAATACATATACTAATAAGAAATATATATAATTTTAATTATTATATATAACGGTTCTTTAACGGTTCCACGTACATATTTTTTACAGGAACCGAGAACCGAACCGTTAATAAAAAGTAGGAACCGAACCATTAACAAATACTCCGAAAACAAATCTGGTGTATTTTTTTTTTTGCAAGGAGTAACTAATAAATTTTGGAACCGAACCGAACCGGGTCATAACGGTTTGGTCCGGTTCGGTTCTCCGGTTCTTGGTTCCAAAGTCCCAGCCCTAGTTTTACCTTTTCCGTCTATTTCATTAAGTTTGTCACATGTCATATTTGGTAATATTTGTGTGGTTACAATTCATTCTTACTTTATTCACACTTTATCAATTCAATATCAATCATATAATTCCACTTTTTCTTAAAAGTAATGTCACACTCCTTTGTCCCAAATATAGTGGGACGGAGGTACTAGTAAGTAGGATGACCAATCATCAAGCAACGAAATAGGGGAAAAACTACTAGATAGAAATGTATTAATTGGCCCGCTAATCTTATCTTAAAAACTTATAAGCACCATTAATGATTAGAAAATTTTAGTAATGATAAAAATGTTAGTGTAAAAGCAAGATGCACTTTACAATTTGTTTGATTCATTATATGGATCAACATTAAATATATTTGTGGTTGTTACCTGTGTTAAAGTTAACCCTTAACTTTTTCAAATTCCAACATATGCATGCTTTATGCACTGTTCGTAGTTAGATTAACATGCTTTGATTTCCATTAAAAAAATTCATTTGATTTGTCATTTTTTTCTTTAGTGTGTCACCTTATGTCTTTTGCAAAACTACCCCTTAGTTATTAATCTCTTTGTGGCCGCTGCATCTATTTGTTAGAACTTAGAAGTTGTTTTATTTATCTTATTCTTATTACTACCTCCGTCCCCCTAAGTTTGGGACAAAAGAAAGTGGCACAGTTATTAATAAAAATGGGTTTATGTTGTTGATATTGAATTGATAAAGTAAGAATAAAGTAGGAATGATTTAGAACCACACAAACTTTACCAAATAAGGCATGAGACAATCTTAGTGGGACGGACCGAAATGGTAAAATGAGACAATCATAACGGGACGGAGGGAGTACTTATTAGGGGTGGGCGCGGTCCGGTCCGGTCCAATATTTGGCCGAACACGTACCCGTACCGTTACTATTCAAACGGTTCGGTTCGGTTCGGTCTTAGACCTAAACCCGTTCGGTACGGTTTCATTTTGAAACGGGACGGTACCATGCCATACCAATACCAAACAATGCCACTTTTTTCAAGTGCTTAAGAGGAAATTAAAGTTTATTCCACTACTAGAAAAAGGACTTTTAACGACCGCTCTATAACGACGACTCTCATAAATCGTCGTTAAAAATATCTTTTAACGACTAATAATAAGTTCGTCGTTATATAGTTTATTTTTAACGACCACATATAAAAAGTGGTTGTTATTATACACTTATACCAAAGTAATGTCGATTTTAGTAATTTATTTTATTTATATATTTTTAAAATTAAATTTTAGGTTGAAAATTAAAGTTTTAAAAGTTCCTAAAAGTTTCAAAATTTTAGCATAGAAGCGCCTGAAATTTGCAACTTTGGAGCCACACTTTTTAAGTTTAAGAAGCGCCTGAAATTTGCAACTTTGGAGCCGCACTTTTTAAGTTTAGAAGCGCCTCAATTTTTTTAAAAATGTTCGAAGTATTTTAGATTTTAGAGCCGCACTTTTTAAAGCTCCAGATTTAGAATCCTACGGAAGAGAAAACTACGAGTCTCGGTGGAACCCTAAATTGAAGGGAGTCGAAGAGAAAACTTGAAGGGCCACAGATTAATTCAGATTTAGTGGAAATTTTAGATCTGGATGAAACCTGTCGTTCGATCGTTTCTTTTCTCTTTCGATCGTTCCGCTCCTCCCCTAAACTCTCAACGCTCAACCCCTTTACTGCAAGATTTTAGATTCTTGGTCGATTGATAAACCTTCTTGCTTCAGGTAACTATAATCTTCAATATTTATTATTCTAATCTCTTTTTCTTAATCTGTTTTGAGCAATCCATAGGGTTGGGGCATAATTTCATTGAATAGTGATATGCTCAGTTGATTTGTTTAGCTGATTTGGTTCGTCGAATTTCTTGGCTAAATCGCTGATAATTTTAATCTTTATGTTTGCTAGTTTGAAATAGTGTTGAAGATAACTTCTCATGATAATAGACCCATGATTATTCTATATTTTTTAATGTATTTCTCATGACTTTGATATTTCTAATCAAAGGGGTGTAGCCTTTCATTTTCTGGGTACAAAGTCAAGAAAATTTTGCTGGGCACAAACTCTGATTTCATATATGCACTTCCATTACAATTTATTGTTAATGTAGTTAATATATTTCTCAACTTCATCCATTTTCTCCTTAGTGAAAATGCTTTCTGTTTTACCAGGTTATTATTATAAGCTCTAAAGGAATAAAGGCTCTATAAGTACATGGCTGGGAGGAATGAGTTTTTCAAAGTTATATGTTAGACTTGTTGGTAAGATATATTATTTGCCTTTTCTTCATATGTTCTACCATTGAATTGAGTTTGGTTTTCTTCAGATTTTCAGTTTTTGTTTCAGGTATATTATGGACTTCTCATGAGTTATAGATTTTAGATTTCTATTCAATACTATATTCTTAGATAATCTATCTAGATTTTGCTTTATTCAGATTTATATGTCTTGAATTTTTGTATACATTTGAATCAGGAACATAAAATTGACGGTTTCACACTTTCACAAGCATAAGTCATCATCAAGTGAAGAGCACAACAATGTATAAAGAGTAGGACTTGTTTTCCTTTTCAGAAAGTAGTGTTACTTCATAATTGCAGACAGAAATAAAGGTAAGATATTGCAATTACTAAAAAGTTGTCGTGTAATTTGAAATTGCTATATTTCCATAAATGATTTGCTTACTAACGCTTCTTAATTTATGCTCTTCCCGTTGAAGCAAACTGATTTTGTGCTTTTAGTTTGAAGGAATTCAATTCATGATGTTTAAGAATGCTATACTTTGCCATTTGGTGAAATTTTATTTCGTTGTTAAATTGCTTACGAGTGCTACAGGTTGTTGCATGGACAGAGCTTTACTTGGATATTAGGATCTGGTCATTGCAGGAAAGCTTATTAGGTCTTAAATTTTAATGTCTCCCAATCACTCAAGATATCCTTGAAGCTAAATATTTTTTAGATTTGAGTTAATATTATATTGTAGCTAATAAATTTATCTCAAGTTGATCTGGAACATCCAATTTGAAGCAGGACACCCCCTTTTAAATTTGCAAAGCAAGACATCCAATATTTTTATGATTGAATTTTGCAGACTTATCTATTAAGTCCTAATACCTTTTGTTATTGTTTCGTAGGTTATATGTATTTGAAGGTATTTGAAGAAGAGAAGTTGTCACTTGTCACTCATAAGAAGCTGTCAGCCGGAGTATTTTTTTTTATTTTGTAATCAAGGAACAATTGTATCATGATGTATTTTTTAGATCCTGTCATGTACTCCGTATTTTTCATTTTTCTGAGTTAAGGAACACCCTTTTACATGTAATTTGACATGAGATTTAAACTTAAAATTCAAATTGATTGTGACTTGTGAATTTTGCTTGATTTTGTCCTCAATACTAATAAATTAATAGCAGGTCAGTTGGTTTTATTAATATACGTAATATCTAATACTCCGTAATAAAAATGATCACGTTCAAAAAATAATAATGATAAATTAAAAGTGATCCAATGTGCAGTAAATAAATTCGAATATGTATTTTGTTGTTATTAAGTAACGATGAACACAAATGTTGTAGCTAATAGTTAACGACGATCTCTTATGTGGTCGTTAAGTTTTAACGACGAACATTGTCGTTATAACCTTTAACGAGGGAGCCTATTACAACGACTCAACGATGAAAAAAAATTCGTCGTTAAAAGGCTTTAACGACGACTTTGAG